CAGCTTCTGATGTACCTCTTCATTTTGATGTTGCTGTTTAAATTGATATTAGAGATTATGCAAAACCCAAGTGTCTCCTCTGTATTCTCTTCACCTACACTATTTACGTTTAATGAGGATGAGGTTTTATGAAACTGCCTTTTTCTAAAAAAACAAAAATGTAGCAAGACAGGACTATCGCTTTCATAAATTGTACCTTTTCAGTGACATTAGAAGCATTAAATAAATTTGCAGTTATGTGAACATTTCTACTAAAATCTAATTTACCGTTGTCTTACAAAGTGCCAAGAATGTACTCTCCATCTTTTGTGTGCCGAAGAGAAATAAAGTCTTAAATCACAGATTAAATATGGATGACTTCAAGAGTAGACAGCATAGCCCTGTTTGTGCTTAGCAGGGTGTGTGAAAGCATGAGAGGGATGTAGTTACAGTGCAGTGTGCTCTAATATAGTCTTAATTATATGTTTATTTGGGGGGGGGTTCACCAAGGGCAACAGTTTGGCATGTATGTTAGATCTGGGCCATGATCCAATTCTAGTGGCATGCCTACCATTAATCTTAGGCAACAACTATCTCATCTGTGATCCAACTTATAGCTTGCCTTTCAAAAATGAATTTTACTCCAGACAGTTTACAGTAACATTTAAACAACAATAAGCCCATAGTTTGAAATAACATTTGTTAGCATTTTAAAATTGTAGTCCCAGTAGCTAAGTGTCCCTGGAGAGGGAAGTGCATCAAAAGACCCGAGCAAGCAGTTTTGTTTGTTTTTTGCTCTCTAGATGAGAGGATGTGTGCCCAGGGTTAAGTCTGCATCTCTTGTAGACACCAAAGCCTGCTCCTTTGCATACTTCAAGTCATTGATATTTGTAGGTTCAGGTCAGAAAATACCTGCTTACAAGCATGTTCATCTTTGGTCTTATGTGCAGGCACACATGAGGACCGCACATGAGCAGGACCGCTGTGGAGAGATTTTTAGCTAAACAGTCACCAGGGGGGACTATGCACCAGAGCTGGGCTGAGCTGTTCCCTCATAAAAAGTCATGTGCTCCAGCGTGATCGTGCCCTTTCCCTCAGTTATTCTTCCATGACCAAAGGAGTAGGTTGCTGCAGCGTGAGCCATCATCTTCTGAATATTTTCTTACTTGACCACCTTGCCTTGTTGGCTTTTGGAAACACTCCATGAGTTTTTCTTCTTTGAAGCCAAGACAGAATTAAGAAATCGATCTTCTCTTCAGCATTTAACACACACACCCTTCTATGTGGCTGATGGCTCTACCCTGCTCTGTTATGGCTCAGAGAGCCTTATTTAAGAAACACAATTCCTGTAGCGCTAAGATGACACACACAGATGAACATGAGTTCTGTCTCCTCTGTTTGGAAGAGGAGCATAATGTGACAACATGCAAAGGTTACAAGCAATTTATCCCCAAGGCTAGGAGTGACCACTCTTCTAAGCTTAAAGCAGCACTCTGGGAGACCCTTCTGTTGAGTGACACTCCATCAAACCCGATCCCGGCTCCAGAGCACCCACCTAAGGCTTCCTCATCTGCTTCAGTTAGGTTGGTTCCATCCATGCTAGAATGGAGCATGGATCCCCATTCTAGCATCAGCCCCATCAGAGCCAATCTTGCTCTTGGTCTCCAACAGTTCCAAGGTGCTCCTCTGAACCACCAGCCAAGAAGCATAAAGAGAAATGTAAATCAGACCTGAAGCACCATACACCAGCCTGGGCACTGGAACTGACCCTGGAGGCCAAGGAAGTGATGGCTCCACCAAAAACACCTTTTCCCAGGCCTGAATCACCACAGCTTTCATTCTCAAAGGGAGAGAGACAGCAGGATATGAACCTTATCTCGGTTCCATGCCCCACCGGGCCCAAACCAGCAGCACCCTTTCCATGGCCACAGGGTCCAACTTCCATGCCATGGCTCCCCTACCCATATTTTATGTGATTAGCATATTTAGGAGAACGGGGGGACTACTATGGCCCACGGTCAGATCGGATCCAGCTTGGGGTTGGCAGCTGCAACAGAGGCTTTCATCTCACTTGGCCTCACTCTGACCCTTACCTGTCTCTGACCTGGAAGAGGGTGATGATCAAGCCCCCAGTTCTGAAGGCAGCTCGGAAGTACCTTCAGATCCAAGCCCCAATGAATGAGTGGGTGATCCGGCTCCAGTATTCCCCATGGAAACCTTAAAATATATAGTGAACAGATGCTACGTATCACACAATCTCTGGATGTTGAAGTGGCCACAACTGATCATGGGTCCAAGGATAAGATCTTGGGTCACCTGTACTCAGATTCCCCTGAAGTGATCGCTTTCCCCATGTTGGGGGGCCTGACAGAACTGATGCAGGAGTTGTGGCAAAAACTAGCATCTATCCAGGCCACATCTCACCGTGTGAAACACTTCTATAAAGTCAGACAGAACACTTCCATGTATCCTCCCCCCTCATCATGGAGGAAATGCAGCCCAGGGGGCGCCAGTCCTATTATGCCGTGTCAGTGGATAAGGAGGGCAGGAAGCTTTATTTCCTCTACTCTGCTGCATTGGGCCTCCTGGTCTCCAGTTACCAGGCCATCATGGCCAGCTATCATTTCTTTCTCTGGGAAAGTTTGTCATCATACTTTGAGTTGCTGCCTGATAGAAAACGGCTCCCAGCCAAGCTCCTGCAAACTGAGGTGGTCAGACTGTCTAAACAGCAGATTAATGCTAGCATTAGCTATGAGCTATGGGCACATCCATCATCCTGAGGCCTGACTAAGGTCCATAAGCCCTTCTGGTGGAGATCAGACAGAAACTGGAGGATCTGCCCTTCAAGGGTACAACATTATTCTCTGAGAAAACAGATGAGATGCTCTCACAGATTTAAAACAAACAAACAGGCAGACTGCAAAGTCATTGGGAATCATGCCATTTGGCCCTTCGCAGGTTAAACACAGGCCCTTTTTCCGCCAACAGTGGCAGCCATACTCAAAAGAGCAATGCTATTTCAGCCCCTCAGGATCTCAGTATCCCACTGCCAAATGTTTTCTGCCTTAGCAAGTTTATACTAAGAGGAGGAGTGCCTTCAGGTCTAGACTGGGACATCAACCCCAGTTGGCAAAGGAACCCCATAGCCCCATCAGAAGGCCGCTTTCTGACTAGCTCAGACCCCTACACTGCTTAAGTTTGGTGACCGGTTGTCACAATTTGGTGCTGAGAGTGGGCTCATCCTCTCTGAT